AGGTGCTAAACTTCTTCCTTACGCAATAAAGGGAGTTTCCAAAGTCGCACCTGCATTGGCTACTGGAGCTGCCTCTGCACTCGGTGAGATAGGATTAAAAAAGTTATTTGGAAAAGGTGTTCCTTCGGTTACAATTCCAAAAAGATTTTTACCAATGTTACCTCCTTTTGCTAGAGAGTTCACCAAAGCACAAATAAACCAAATCAACAAAGCTTATAAAACAGGAAGTCGACTGGTTATCAAACCAACTCGTAGGCAAGTAGAAGGAGGATTTCTGTGAACACTTGCTTCAATCGGAATTCCAATGGCGATTAGTTTAGTTTCAAAGATGTTTGGCTCTGGTCTTCAGGTTGATAGGGGATCGTCTAGTAATACTAGAAATGTTTATGTACCTCCAGTAATACAAGGAAAAGGCCGATATTTTTCAGGTCCACATCGCCCTCCACCCTTTCTTGGTACTTGGGAAGATATGGAAAATAGAGGGCCATTGGGAATGGGAGTCGCCGCCAAAGGTGGCGCCGTTAAGAGTAAAAAAAAAAAGCCCAAAGGCAAGGGATTGCTGTTGGGAAAAAACAGCCCATTCAACTCAATTCCCATACTAGGAACCATTTTGTAATGGGGGAACCTACGGTTCCCCCTGTGACCCCCTCCCTTCGCTACGCAAATCAGCACTTTGTAATTAAGCCGCTATCCAACTTTGACATAATGGATTGGGTAAAGAAACTTGGTATTAAGCATTTCAGAGCGATTTACANCAAATCAGCACTTTGTAATTAAGCCGCTATCCAACTTTGACATAATGGATTGGGTAAAGAAACTTGGTATTAAGCATTTCAGAGCGATTTACAGTCGTGATGGACTACCAAAAAAGATAAAAAAAGAATGTGGAATAATCAATCTCGATGATATTCAAGGTCCTGGAACACACTGGGTTTGTTATAGAAATATAGACAATGTAGTCGAGTCTCTCCCTGTAGTCGAGTACTTTGATCCATTTGGTTTGATAATGCCAAATGAAGCTTTAAAGTATTTTAACACTTCTGGAAAGCAAATAGTTTACTCAATAGATTAAATACAAAATCGCAATACCGTTCTCTGTGGTTACTGGTGTTTGTATTATCTGTTAGAACGACAACGTGGTAATAGTATCTTAGACGTAATACATAATCTACATTTTGACAGCGACAATAGTGATTTCATACAAGAATACTTTGGAGGATAAAGGTTATTGCTTACGTAGTACTAGTAAAAATAATATCTATTAAATATTATTTTTTGTAGTAACCTTTTACTCTCTATTTATTAAAGATTTAAGACGCTTAACTCCATCTCTGGTGAAATAAATTTGGTGACATATGCTGCTAAAACAGTTATAAATTTCAATAAGATTAGTTAACCTCTCTAATTTTTCGTCAGAATTATCTTCATTAAAAGATTTAAAAACTCTCATAAGACCAAACAATAATTGGCTTTCTTCAGAAATTATTCTTAGAGAAAAATCATCATTTCTTTTTTGAAGATCTTCTAACCCATTAATAATTTCAGTTCGAATTTTATTCCCGTAATCTTTTAGTAACTGGATATCACAAAAGTTTTCAAACTCTTTAATAAACTTATCTTCCATTCTTTATACTTTACTATTTATTGTTTAAATCATTTTACTCCTCATCTATTGGAGCATCTTTTAACTTTTTAAGATCATCAACTTTCTTATTTATATCTCCAACATTCTCAACTAAATTACTTACTTGTGAGTAAATTTAAATAAGTCTAAAGAGTTTCTTCTTTTTATCACTCTTTATTTTCAACCAAGAATATTTACCATTTTTAATACTGTTCCACAACTGACATTCACCAAACATTAGTACTCTAGAAAGACCATCATTCGTCTTTCTAAGAGATTCAAACTCATCATTTATTTTAGTTCTAACTTCTTTCTCAAAATCTTTTAGTGTTTTAATATCCATCTTTTTTTCTATCTCAGAAAAAAACTCATATAATAATCATATTGCATTGTAGATAAAAGAGTAACTCCTTGCACAGAACCAAGTGGTTACCAAAAAGATAAAAGAGGAAGAACACAATTCTTTTGTAGATGCGCAGTTTGTGGAAATAAAAAAGTTAGATATATAAAAATGGGGGGAGTGCCCGGCTCGACGGGCACTCCCCCCATTTTTCAAAAAAGAAGTCAAAAAACTAAGAGAAGGCGGGCAAACAAACCGGAGGTGATGTCTTTGACACTGTCGTCGGAACAGCCGCAGATGCATTTGTTGAACATGCTCTACCTTGGATGGGTCGCAAAGCAGTTGAAATGGAAAGATATGGAGCAAGTGAAGCATTGAGAAATAAAAAACTACAAAAGAAAGCTGTAAATTATGGGATTAATAAACTAACTCCATTTATTCAGGAGAGTGTTGGAACAGCAATGGATCAGCTGTCAACCAAAGTTAGACCAAAGAAAAAGTATAAAACTGATAGAAAAGATTTAGACGGAAGAAGTGGTAAGGGTATTGATCCGATGACTGTTGTAAAAAAAGCGCCAGATATTGCAATGAAAACAACACAAAAACTAATTCCATCTTTGAAACCAGTTTACGATAGATATAGATCTGGGGACGTCCTGAATTCCGCTTTTGGAAGTGAACATGGGGTTATGTCTAGTAAGTTTTGGAGACGGCCAACAGCAGCGGAAGAGAAAGCAAAAGGAATAATACGCAAAGGGAGGAGTCCTGAGTTATTCTTTGCATTTAATAGGGATGGTAAAAAAATCAGACAATATAAAACAAAATTCTTTGAAAAAAACCCAGAAGCATCGGTAGATATGCACAACATTATTTCAGGTAGTCCAGATACATGACCAGAAGTCATAAGAAATAAGTATGGAATTATCATTGATGAACACTTTTGGGAAAACAACCCATTAACTGAAGTTGTTTCTGGAACTTCATTAACTGGCGGAGCCTTAGATATTCACAAATAGATTGGAAAACTCCCAAAACCAAAAGCAGGATGGACTCCAGGAAAGTACAAATATATGGGTCCATACAATCCTCTAGATAAACAATTAAGTTATGATCCAAACACTGGAGAAGTAACAGAGTGGCGAGTTAGGCCGTCTAACAAAGTCGATGAGATAGCAGCATATCATGATATCTGTTATGACATGGGTAGAAACAAAAACGATTGCGACAAAGAGATGGTACAGTCATTGGACTCCATTCCTTATGGTGAAATGCCAAAATGGGGCTCAACTGCGAGATTGTTGATTAATACAAAGAAAAAACTTGGACTTGGCCTGCCAACTAAAGCTGGACTTCCAAAAAACGCGCGTCGGCGTCGAGGCGCAAGTTTGCGCAAGGTAGTGATTGGTCTCAACAATTAGCCGACGAACTTCACAAACCAATCACAAGAAACTTTCAAAAGAGAACAGTAGTCTCAAACGAAATTGATGAGATCTGGGCTGCTGATTTAGTTGAAATGCAAAAGTTTAGTAAATGGAACAAAGGGATTAAGTATCTTCTGATGGTTATTGATGTGTTTAGCAAGTATGGATGGATTAGGGGACTAAAAGACAAGAAAACTGAAACTGTCAGTAAAGCATTTAATGATATTTTCAAAAGCAAACGTAAACCAAAGATGTTATGGACAGATAAAGGTTCTGAGTTTATCAGTAAACATTTCAAAGATTTTCTGAAAAGAGAGGGAATTAAACTGTATCACACTGAAAATGAAGAGAAATCTAGTGTTGTTGAGAGATGGAATAAAACAATAAAAACAAATATGTGGAAAATGTTTGCTGTAAATAACAACACTGTCTACTTTGATAAGATAGATAAGCTAGTTAATGATTACAATAATACAAGACATTCTAGTGTAAAAATGACTCCTGCTGAAGCAAGTAAAAAGAAGAATGAAAGTAAAGTTTGGTCTAATTTGTACGGCGATTTGATTTACTTGAAACCTGGTAAACCAAAGTTTTCTGTTGGAGACAAAGTTAGAATTTCTAAGTATAAAAAAAAGGTATTTGATAAAGGTTACACACCAAACTGGACAGAGGAGATATTTGTGATTGATAAAGTTTTGCCAACAAAACCAGTTACGTATAGCATTGTCGATCTGATGGGAGAACCAATTAAGGGTTCTTTCTACGAGCAAGAATTACAAAAAGCAAAACAACAGACATTTAGAATAGAAAAAGTTATCAGACGAGATAATAAGAAGAAAATAGCACTTGTAAAATGGAGTGGTTATCCTGATAAATTTAACTCATGGGCGAGTTTTAAGTACTTGGTTGACTTTTAATACAAAAATTTGTATTAAAAATAAATCCTAATATCACCCTTCATTATTAACTTTTACAATTAATTCTTCAAGACCATCTTTTGTATAATCACCCTCACTCTCACTCTCACTCTCACTCTCACTCTCTTCATTTTCCTCTTCAATTGTTAGTAAAGACTCTCTAGGTTTTAATGGTGTAATATAACACTCATGTGAGGGGTCTCTCTTAGTTTTCGTTTTTCCTTTCTTATCTGGATACTCAACCTGTNTAGAATTTCTAAGTATAAAAAAAAGGTATTTGATAAAGGTTACACACCAAACTGGACAGAGGAGATATTTGTGATTGATAAAGTTTTGCCAACAAAACCAGTTACGTATAGCATTGTCGATCTGATGGGAGAACCAATTAAGGGTTCTTTCTACGAGCAAGAATTACAAAAAGCAAAACAACAGACATTTAGAATAGAAAAAGTTATCAGACGAGATAATAAGAAGAAAATAGCACTTGTAAAATGGAGTGGTTATCCTGATAAATTTAACTCATGGGCGAGTTTTAAGTACTTGGTTGACTTTTAATACAAAAATTTGTATTAAAAATAAATCCTAATATCACCCTTCATTATTAACTTTTACAATTAATTCTTCAAGACCATCTTTTGTATAATCACCCTCACTCTCACTCTCACTCTCACTCTCACTCTCTTCATTTTCCTCTTCAATTGTTAGTAAAGACTCTCTAGGTTTTAATGGTGTAATATAACACTCATGTGAGGGGTCTCTCTTAGTTTTCGTTTTTCCTTTCTTATCTGGATACTCAACCTGTTTGTAATAAAATGGCTCAGACAGAGATGATGCTAGATCCGCACCGTATTCACTTTCTAGATGTTCCTGGAAAATAGTTGTTATATTGTTTATTGCTTCAAAAAATGCTTTTTCTTGCGTGTTTGGCTCGCTATCTTTAGCCCAAAGACATATTGGAATGCTATAACCGACTAATTTGTTTGTTTCTTGATTCTTCTTTTCGTTTACGCCAAAAGAGAAAAGAAGTGGAGTTTCGATTATAAGTTGCCCTTTCTTTCCATTTGGATATTTAACTTCAATTGGGATACGCTTATACCTAATCTTGCTATCTTTTACTTTGTACTCTTTGGCTTCATTAAAGATAATATTGTCTGGGGTTAAATCTTCGTAACTTGTGATTTGCATCTTTTTTATTAATTAATTAACTTTTAAGCTAATTTTTCTTCTTCTAAAAGTGTTGATAGTTCCATAAATTGTCTTCCAATATATGAAAAAATCGTCCCATTTTTACCTCTACTTATTTTATTATGAGAAAAGTCATATGAAATTATTTTTAAAATTTCTACTATTTCGTCAATTAATTTAATAATTTCTTGGTTTTTTTCACTAGTTTTTGAATCCATCTTTATTTTTAGGTTATATAATTTTTAAACGAAAATTTATTTTTGTGGGAAATCCCCTAATTACACATTCTCACTCACAACTCATAAAAAATTCAGCAAATGGGGATTTCCCTAATGTTATTCTGGATTCACTTTCATATTAGAGTAGTTACTAAATGCTGACTTACCGCTCACCCTTAGTACACCATTAAATGGAATTAAAAGAAAAATGTTAGAAAAGATTAGTTTTTTACTGCAGGGACGACCTGAGGTTCGACCGAAGGGAGACCCGAAGGGAACCGACCGAAGGGAGGTTAGGACCTACAGGAAACGACAAGCTTTTCTATCATTTTCCTGATTAATTCCGTTAAATTGGGGTACTAAGGGTGAGCGGTAAGGCAGCATTTAGTAACTACTAAGTGCCGTAACGTTTGGTTTATGAATGACCACTCTAACGTGTCAAAAGCTTTATCAAAATCGAAGAAAAGAAGTAGACCGGGTAAACCTTTGTTTTCTGCATACTTAATAGCACTATCTAATGTGCGTATATTGTCACTGATACATCTGTTTTTAATAAAGCCTGACTGATCTTCTGATATAAGTTCCGGTAAAACTATTTTGATTCGATTTGCAATAGCCTTTGATGCAGTCTTATAATCGCAGTTTAATAGTGTCAATGGGCGCCAATTTTTAATCAGGTTGGGATCTGCGTCCTTCTTTGGTATAAGCTTGACAATTCCTCGCCTTTGTGATACAGCGAGTTTTCCTGTTTGGTAAGAAACGTTTAGGGCCTCTGTTAGTGTTTCGCCTACGTCTTTCCAAAAAACTTTATAAAATTCACACGGCAGGCCATCAGTACCAGGTGTTTTTTCCGTGGCCATACCGTTTAATGCTTCCAAACACTCTTTAGAACTTAAAAGACCCTCACAAATGCTGTTTTCTTTCTTCACTTAATACTTCTCTTGTAGGTGGAAAGAAAACTTGAACTGTAGAGATTTTTATAAAAGGTCTCGCACTCGTGTAAGATTTCCCTGTCGGATTGGATTAAGTCTTTGTCATTAACTTTCAGTTGGGTAATTGTTCCTTGTTTGCAGTGTCTCTTCTCTAAGTTTAGAAAGTATTTGGTGTTTTTTTCGCCCTCATTGTACCATCGCAATTTAGATCTTAGAATAGCTCCTTTTGTCTGGTATTCGATTATGGTTTCAAGTTCCCGTCTTTTCTTTTCTAACTCTGACCATACATTTTGGCAGTCAGTGGCATCAATGTTGGCGGTCTGCTCCTCCAGGATTTTGATTGTCTTTTCTATATCGTCTTGTTTTTGAAACATTTTTCACTTATTTATTCTGCCAAACTCAATTGATGTCTCTCTAATTTTCATTTTTATCATTTCCCACAGTAAGTTTGGAACGACAGTATTATCCAGTGCATATTCATCTTTAGTTTGAGTTATAATGGATTGTATTTTCTTTCTATATTCTTTGTCCTTTAGGAATAAGGTATTTAGTTTCCAGAAGCCCCGTCCTCTCATGTTATTATGCGTCGAAATTTGCAACGTGACCAATGAATGATCTGTCTTATAACCGGGGGCTATATCTGTATTGATTGAGTTGCAAGATGTGCGTTGACTTACGAGAAAAAAGTCAAGCCTGCATTGTATTTCGGGGTTCTTTTGTCTCCATGTAAATCGTCGTTGTTCAGGGTTTTGTATTCTCCAGACATCAATTAGGTCCAAGTCTTCGCAATAGCTATTTATGACTTCCAACGATTTTTTGTGGGTTTTCGCAAAGGTCGCCTTTTTTATCTTTCTCAACATCCAAAACTAAATTAAAATCTGCTAACCGCTCAAAGACCGAAGTAAAAAAAGTTGGGTCGTCGTTGTTTGGAGCATATATATTTGCCAAGGTTAATTGTTTCCCATTTGTAATCAAGTCACAGATAATATAGCGTCCCCCAGGGTCGCAGTATGTTCTCGAAATTTCAAAGGTGAAAGTATTGTTAAACAATATGATAACACCTGCCTTTTTGCTAGAGCGCAACTGAAAAGGGCCTGATAACCCCATTCAGCTCGCCAGTCATGCATATTATTTTCAGTACAATGAGCTTCTTGAATAAAATACATGGCCATTTGTTTTTTCCGCAGCCAATTAAAGAATTCCCGTCGCTTGCTTCTGTCTCCTAATCTCCTGGCATTAATTAAACCAATTGTAAGTTTCATTTCTTTTGTTGCTGTGAAGAAAGAAGAAACTGATAACTTTCAACCAAAAACATATAGCAAGAGAAATTATTCTGATTTGTGCAAATGAGATATAGAGTGTCGGTTTAGTACAGAAAGGTCTAGAAAAAGATATTTCAAAACACTGAAAGCAAAACAAAACAGAAAAAAAAATCGAAAAAAAAACATAAAGACAAAGTTAAAATGTTTCCTTGCTGGGTGGTCGCTTTGCATCTCTAAGGGGTGACTAGCCGCAAGAAAAAAAGGAATAGTAAATTTAATCGCGTCTATTTGGACCCGCTCAATATGTCAAATGCAGGCGACTTTTCATGGAGTTGAATTCTTAAGGATTTTATTCAGGTTCAAAAAGGGGAAGGAAAATTCGTCGTCTTATCTCACGTCCTCCATAAAACGGAAAATTCGGAGGTTTCACGTCGTAGTCGTGCAGTGGACGTCAAAGAAATGTACTAAAAAGCGTGATGAACGTGCAGGATTCCGGACAGATTTTACGTCATGGGGACGTTTCCCTGGGCGCGATCCATTCAACCAAAATTCCAACCGGTCCGACCGGGAAAAGAGGACCACCTCAATAGGTGGACCCGTTTTTTCGAAACTTTTCTGGTTGGACCGAACCGATCCATTGAGTTTTGGACCGAAATTTCCGGAAAGTTTGGTTGAATTGATCGCGCCCCCTAGCGTGAAGGCTGTTCTCGCAGGCTTCTGATTGGACACCTATTTTAGGAACAGCCGTAACAGCTAAAGTATAAAACAAGAAAAGAACTCTACACAGTGGACCGTGAGGAAGGTTTGAAGAATGCAGCTAGTGAGACTGTTAGTGGTGGGTGATAGAGGGGTTGGGAAAACCAACTTTCTTTTTTGCGGGAAAATCGGAAAACTTCCATGCTGTTACGTCCCTAGAGTTTTCGACAATTGTACGGCAAATATTATGGTCCGTGGGTTTCCATTCACGGTAGGACTCTCGACTGCATCAGGCCAAGAGGATTACCCTCGTCTGAGACCGCTGTCGTACCCCTCAACAGATGTATTCGTTGTGTGTTTCGATGTGGCAAGTAGAAGTTCTTTTCAGAGCGTGTCAGAGACATGGGTTCCAGAGGTTCGCCATTATGTTCCCTCAGCGGCAGTTCTGCTCTTGGGAACCAAGACGGATCTTCGTAGTGCCAAGTAAGTTATAAGAAAAAGAAACTTACTAATGCTTTTCCCATGGAGTGGGTATTGGGGTTGGTGGAAGGTCTATACAGTTTTGTTCATCTTTTGACGTTAACCAGTAGTCAAAAACTAGTAAAGCGCCTTACGGTCAGTTATGTTGCCAAGTTTGAGAGTAGTGACAAGTTGAAACGAGTCGCGACAATTATTTTTTTCTTGGGTTGCACGTGACGTCACCAAAAATCAAACTAAGAAACTATCGATTCTTCTGAGTTTCTACTTTCATGAGGTATTACAGTACCTAAACACCCTTACATAAACAAATTTTTGGTTTGAAAGGGTTCTTCGTTTTGCGAGAGAGGACGCTTGAATTTCCAGGCTATTGCGTGACGCGGCATTTAGCTGGCGGCCGGGAAAGCTCTTATGTGGCTTAAAAACATAACCGATTTTGGGAGATTTTGCAATCTAAACATTCGTTGTCTCAGAATAAATATTACTGTAATCTTTATGAGTTCCTTAAGCGAAGAATTCACGCATAAGTAGGAAAACTCGAAAACAGATGTTTCTGTTGGTATCCGGCGGCCATATTGGGGGTGACCCTCGAAAACTAAGACCTAAGACCTAAGACCCCCTAAAATCGAATCTGTCGGAATATAAAGTCAAATTGTAACCGAAATAGGTCTGATCTGTCAAATTATATCATGTTCGATCCTTTCCACCGGGTTTTAGGTCAAATTTAACGGTAAATTTAGGGGTCTTAGTTTTCGTAATCTCGAAAACTAAGACCCTTAGTTTTCGTAATTACGAAAACTAAGACCCCCACCAAAACAATGTCTAAAATTTCTACAAAGTCGAATTACGACGGTTTGAAGACTATAATCCGTAAGACAAACAAAAACACTACAACGCATACGCGTGCTATTTAGCTAGACGATCCGCTTCTTCTAACAATATGCAGACATACATTGGTAGTTCTACCGACATATATTATCAATATTGTGGCTTTAAGAAAACAATGAAAGCTAAGGCCCAGTTCATACGTCGTGCTGCTGCCGTGCCGAACTTAATTCTTGAATTAAGTTCGACATAAGCACGGCAGAAGCACGACGTCTGAATCAAAGTTTTTGATTTAGTGCGGCAGAACAATTAAGTTCGACAAGGTCTGCCGTGCTACACGACTCTGGCACGGCAGCGATTCAGACGTCGTGCTTATGCCGTGTCGAACTAAATGCATAAATTTCAGAAATGTATTTTTCGCGGGAATTGTTATCTTGCGAGTCCCGCGAGTAGCTTCGAGGAAAAATGTCCTTCAATGAGCATGCGCATTGATTCTCTTTATTACTCCAGAGCTCCTCTGTGCATGACGGCCAGGAATCAGAAGCGTAAGCACTGGGCCGGGTTCGAGAATGGTTTAAAACAAACATGGCGGCTTTCCGTGCAAGTTTGCATGCTCCTTCCTCCTTGGTTTGAGTCCGATAATTCATCAGAAGACGAACTACCTTTTGACGAAAATATTCCACTAGCTGGCTATAAAGAACAAGGTGAAGAGGAAGACGAGGAAGCGATCGGCGATGTTGAGTCAGTGTCTCGACCAAGGATAAAATCAAAGGTGGCTTTTGATAAACGAAACGTTTTCTTGAACCTCTGATCAGTGTATGTGTTCCATACTTCTTCGAACCATCCCTTGTTACGGGGAAGCCGTCGACATGATCGATCAGCAGTGGTTTTCTCGGAAGAAATAAGAAGAGCAGAAAGAAAAAAAACTTCTAATAATAACATTCGCCTGACGGTCAAAAGGAAAAGGATTTTCTGCTACATTTCTTTTCTTCTCGTCCTCGAGTTTTGTAAGAGTTTTACAAGTAGCAATTTATGCTGGAGGTTACGGTGCGGCGCCATTTTCATCACCGCTTACCGCTGTACTGACTACTGTGCGAACACTGAATTAAGTTCAACTCTGGCACGACGTCTGAATTTAAGTCGTGCTTGTGCCGTGCTTCTGACAACTTCTGTCGAACCCAAAATTAATTAGCTTCGGCACAGCAGAAGCACGGCGTATGAACTGGGCCTAATACTACCTACGTATTATTATTGTACACTGAAAATATGCCTTACCCCTATAATTTTGGTTGTTTATCCTTAAAGTCATAAAATTGGTTTTCCACTGGAGATGGATTTTTGTCTTCGTTGCGGGCTGACATGTCGCTACGACGTGAATGCCTGATTGCTAAGTGGTCAACGGCGTTATCAGTTAAACATCACACAAAAATACGGATTTTGTTTTTCCTTTTCTGGCCAGGTCATAGATAGAAAAGTGCTTTTATAAAAAGGGCGAAAAAGGAGAATATGCTACATTGCGTTTTTCTAGCCTTTGTTTTTATCGTTGCCACCCCATCACCGGGTTACAATGCAAAGGTAGTTGAGGGGTAGGGGTGGGGGGCAAGGAGAAATAGTCTGTGAGGGATAATCGCTAAAATCACTCATGAAATAATAATTAAAAAAACGAATGAGTGAATGAATTTCCTGTACTAGCAAAGCATCGTCTCGAGAATTAGAGTTCTAATTTCAGAACAATAAAATAAACATGACAACTGCTGCACACAAACCCCCTCAGGTGATGGTTACAGGTAATGCAATCTCGATCGCAGAGACACGAAGAAAAACATCCATCTCCAGTGGAAAGCCAATTTCATAATTTAAAGGATAAACAACAAAATTAAAGACCAATAGGGGTAAGGCATATTTTAAGTGTACAATGGATACATAGGAAGTCTATGGCTTTGGTCCTCTTTTTAAAGCAAGTCTTCAAATTGTTAGTGGATTTTAGATCAGCACGCGTATGATAGTAGTTTTTGTTTGTCTTACGGATTATAGTCTTCAAACCGTCGTAATTCGACTTTGTAGAAATTTTAGACATTGTTTTGGTGGGGGTCTTAGTTTTCGTAATTACAAAAACTAAGAGGGGTCTTAGTTTTCGAAATTACGAAAACTAAGACCCCTAAATTTACCGTTAAATTTGACCTAAAACCCGGTGGAAAGGATCGAACATGATATAATTTGACAGATCAGACCTATTTCGGTTACAATGTGTGGTTCCAGAAAATATCCATACTCCCCGCCACGGAAGGGATAGGATTTTCCAGGGGGGAAGGGGGTCAATTTGCCTAATTTTCCAGTGGGGAGGTGGGGAGGGGTCACCATAGGGAAATATTTCCAGAGGGTTCTTGTGATGCGCGGAGAGTAACAAAGAAAAAACAAAAAATTACCACGACAATTTATTTGCAAAGATATAAAACACGACGAAAGTTAAAGAGCTACTAAACCTAAGGATTAATGGACATAGCGAACATATTTTGTCAGTCCCTTGGGGTAGCCTCTCACGCGAAAACGTTCCTTACGGTTTGCCGTTTTCGAACGAATTTGGTATCCGTTTGAACTGCTTGGGGTATCCGTTCAAAAAAAATTGTCATCCGTGCGAACGACTTGGGCTATCCGTTTGAAAAAGGTTGTCATCCGTTCGAACAGCTTGGGATATCCGTTTGAAAAAATTGTTATCCGTTCGAACGGCTCGGGCTATCCGTTCGGAAAAGAATTTGTCGACCGTTTGAGCGACTGAAGCTATCTGTTCAAAGGTAAATTTTAGCCGAGTTTCCATCCCAAAACCATTTCGTCGCTAGCCACTAGCGTCGAACGATGTGTTATTCTCCAGGTCACAGCACGTTAAACTTTGCGTGACCATTTTCTTATCAATGAAATCGGCGACGCGCAATTTTACCGCAAACTCAAATATGCAAATTTGGTAGAACGAAATTCGATACTCACACTGTCTTATCGCGCGACGAGGTCCTGATCTCTTTAATTGTACTTCTTCAAGTGTTGCTTCTTCTTGACGCAGTGCGAGAAAAGTACGGTTATGTTTGCTACGCGACCGTGCATTTCATTTGCAGAATTGTAGAATTCAACAGAAATTACATGAAATGCACAAAATTTGTCTTTGACTTGAGCGCATAAGGAGTTCGCATAAGGAATTCGCTTATCTGTTATACAATAAATGAAACTCATAAAATTTGGCATCCTAGTGAACGCAAATCCCTTCCGTGGGGGGGGGGGGGGTTTGGATATTTTCTGGAACCCCACAATTTGACTTTATTTTTCGAGGGATTTGTTTTTAGGGGGTCTTGGTTTTCGTAATCTCGAAAACTAAGAGGGGCCTTAGGCCTAGTTCTTATTTTTCGGGGGTCTTAGTTTTCGTAACACGCCCCATTTTGGTGTTCCTGAAAGGGAACCCAACTGGGGGTTTCNCGTTTGAAAAAATTGTTATCCGTTCGAACGGCTCGGGCTATCCGTTCGGAAAAGAATTTGTCGACCGTTTGAGCGACTGAAGCTATCTGTTCAAAGGTAAATTTTAGCCGAGTTTCCATCCCAAAACCATTTCGTCGCTAGCCACTAGCGTCGAACGATGTGTTATTCTCCAGGTCACAGCACGTTAAACTTTGCGTGACCATTTTCTTATCAATGAAATCGGCGACGCGCAATTTTACCGCAAACTCAAATATGCAAATTTGGTAGAACGAAATTCGATACTCACACTGTCTTATCGCGCGACGAGGTCCTGATCTCTTTAATTGTACTTCTTCAAGTGTTGCTTCTTCTTGACGCAGTGCGAGAAAAGTACGGTTATGTTTGCTACGCGACCGTGCATTTCATTTGCAGAATTGTAGAATTCAACAGAAATTACATGAAATGCACAAAATTTGTCTTTGACTTGAGCGCATAAGGAGTTCGCATAAGGAATTCGCTTATCTGTTATACAATAAATGAAACTCATAAAATTTGGCATCCTAGTGAACGCAAATCCCTTCCGTGGGGGGGGGGGGGGTTTGGATATTTTCTGGAACCACACAATTTGACTTTATATTTCGACGGATTTGATTTTAGGGGGTCTTAGTTTTCGTAATCTCGAAAACTAAGACGGGTCTTAGGTCTAGGTCTTAGTTTTCGAGGGTCTTAGTTTTCGTAACACGCGCCATATTGGTGTTCCTGAAAGGGACACCAACATGGGGTTTCCATACAAAGCTTTATAAATATAGGTAAACTGTTTTTTCCAATATCTCGCATTTGAAATATTTCACAGACCTGGTTCTTGCCAAGGGTTTTTGTATATTTATCTTTTTTCATTTCCCAGATTCTAGTCCTTCTGTATTGTATGGTTTGCATTTTTATTTTTCATAATTTGCGTGACAGTGCAAGCTGAGAATAGACGTTCGTTTGGTGGTGGGCAAGTTGGTGCCCCAACCTGGTCAGAGGGAACTGGGTCAATCTTTGCTGAATATGTGCTGCTGGCTTCTCACAACCCCTTAACCCCATTATAGTCTCTTTTGTGGCCAATTATATATAGACCCTGTTTTAGTCACTTTGGCACAAATGTAATTTTTGCATTCCCAACTTATTCACTTTCGCTTAGTCACTTTCTGTCACTTTTTTAACTTTGAACCTCCCGTGTGTAAATCAATACCGTCCATTATTTTCTTGCCCCCAAAATTCCCAAAAACTTGCAACCCCATTCTAATAACTCTATTGAAAATGTAACATCCCTATTAGCCTATTACATTGCAGTGGAACCTCTCCTTTGGGACACCTCTATTCAAGGGACACCCCCATTATTAAAGGGGACAGTAATCTGGTCCAGAAAAAAATGTATGTTCATATAATATAATCCTTGTATTTGTTTCCTCTATTGAAGGGACACCCACCATGGAGGACAAAAATTAAAGAATTTGGGACTGTGTGAAAATTAGGCCTTTCCAAGTGATTGTTACGTAGGACTCTGCTCCTAATGACAATTTTTTTTATCTTCTTTGGGTTCATCCCGTCGTCTCTCCACTCCCCCCAGCAATGTTGTGGCCAGAAAAAGCAGTCATTCCACCTATTTGCTAAAAATTCAACTTTGTTTGGGGTGGGAGGGAAGAGGTCGCTAGTTTTACTAATACCACTGAAAAGGTGGCAACACTCGTGACCTCCACTGTAGCCTCTACTCAAGGAAAGGGATATTTTTTCTGTGACCCAAAACAGGGATTAATTCAACCTCCATTCAGAGCGCACCTAAGCACTCAAAAGGTAACTGAGGTTCCAGAAGGAACTCCTCTCAGGAACTTTGTGGCTTTGTAGAATTATACATTTATCTTTCCTTGTTTCAAAATAATTCTTGCGAGTGACCATCTCTTGTAAGTGGTTACCAACTCTTCACATTTTTGGTGGTCGCTTACATGAGGTTTGACTGTTGTTTTTTCCCTTTCATGCACAGTAACATATCTGATGATGGGCCCATCGTGACAATGAGAGAAGGACAGGATCTTGCAGCATCTCTTGGTATTGCATATGCAGAATGCAGTTCTCTGTTAAATGATGGTGTGCATCAAGCTCTCAACACTGCTGTTGAGTTGACCGTTTTTCCCCAAAGACAAGTTAATTCAAGGAAAGGATTTTTTAAGAGTATAAGGAGAAAATCCAAATCAGCAAATGAACAAGAACCAATTCCTCCTGTTCTTCCTCCTGCAGGTACTGTTAATCCTGGGAGAGACCGCGAGGGGAAATTGCTCTGAAATGAAGGTCATGGGGAGGTGCAAGGGATATTTTTCAGCTTGAAATTCACAATTTTAAGGTTCTTGTGGTAATAAAATGTAATTTTGTTACTTCTTTTCTCAACAATGTTGGGAGTCTTTGGCCAACAATGTTGCCTCCGTTTGCACAGGGCTTAATGCTGATGGTACTCAGCTTTAAGCGTGTCAATATCCCCCTATAAGACAGATGTTGCTTTCAAGTCAATGTCTCATTTCATCTATCAGGAAAAGGACTTACAGTCTGATAGTGATACTGTGATTAGCATAAAGTGTTTTCAGTAGTGTATTTTTTTTGGATTTGCAGGGTGTTTTTGCACAAACAAATTTTTCTGATTCAAACATAATCATTTTACCAAGTACTGAGAATTACACACTGTAATTCTTATTATTTTCAGAAAGCTGTGTACTTTTGAGCAGACACGTTTTTAATTTGTTGGTTTTAATGTGTCTTACTAGTGAACTTTATATATTATAGTTACATGAATGTATAGAATACTGGTATCTATACTGGAGTAAACTTTTATTACATATTGTATTTGTAGGTTTTGCACCACATGTTGAAGTGCTTACTTCCTCATTTGCAAGTGAGTGGCACAATATGATGTCTGACAGTAGCACAGTAGATGTCACATTTATTTTTTCTGATGGCCAAACAGTGGAAGCACATAAAACTGTTCTAACTGCTGCATCCTCCATTTTCAAGAATATTTTTCTGGGTAAAGTGACTCCAAGTCATGAAACCTATGGTGAAATATTTGAGGAAATATCATGGGTTTGCAACAAAGAAAACAGCTGTCCAAATCTTATCCACATGAAAGAGCATTGCCAGGGTGTAGGGAAGACAGTTGTAAGGTTGCATGAGAGTATTTTAAAGCGTGTTTTTATGGAGCTATTGACATTCCTTTACACTGGATCACCGGACATTTCTAAAGATGAAGACATAAACTTTGTGAAAGAAATCCAGTCTCTAGCTATTAAATTTCAGTTGAGCTGGTTGGCAAAGTACTGCTCAAATATTCTTGAAGGAGAATCATATTTGAATCCGAGTATTGGCACGTGGATTAATGACAACACAGGGAATGCTGCAAAGAAGCTGTTTCTCAACAAGTCATTACAAGCTGATGTCAAGTTCCGTGTTGAAGGCAGTGTGGTTTATGGACACAGGGTTATATTGAAAGCAAGATCAGAGGTCATGGCGGCCATGTTGGGTGGAGCATTCATTGAGAGTGATTTGGACTCGGAGGTAATAATATTTAAACACAATGTGGGAATAATACTTTGGGTCATGATGTCCTTGTAAACACCCTAAGAGCAAGCTGCAATTGTAATAAACCGGGGTGGATCCAGGAGTTTCGGATTGGGGGTCCAAACTTTGGTTCAGAAAGTGAAACTGTTAAACTTTTTTTGTGGCAAATTACTTCTCCCACACACCTCCCACATCCTCTCTCACCAGTCGCGGTTGCACGTTATAATAAGGGGCCAAGGAATTATTCCTTGGCCCTTTATCGCGTACTTGAATTCTACTTGTAAAGGATGCACCCTTGGAACATACTCTTCTTGCGCTTGGCAACAAAGATTGAGAGTCCTGAGCAGAGGCGAATAGATCATAGGAGGGTACCCAAAAACATTATTACGTTTTTTAATATCCCTGGAATTTAGTTCAAGTGGCAAAATGCAATGCGCATTTCATTTAAAAAATCAGCCAGTTAAAAAGTGATATACAATCCTGTGGATGTAAGAACTTCAGTCTCAAACAAGCGTCAGGTCTGATAGGGTCTCCAGACCCTCCGGACCCTCACTCTGGATCTAGCACTGATAAAGACAAGCTTTATATGTGAAAGTCATTACTGTAATTATATAGATTGATATAATCTATGAAATGCAACATCTTATTAAACATGCTAATAGTTAGAAGCGAAATAGTGCTTATAAGAGTTCTGACAAAATTTGTTTAAGCACGCCAGTTATCAGAGGTTATGTTGTGAATTAGTTGGTCTGTGGAACTGGAAGTTTACTGAAGATGTAATAAACTGCACATTGACAATTAAATTGGTCATTCCTTTTACAGATCAAGATTGTGGACACATCCCTCCAAAGTTTCTTGGCCTTACTGGAGTATCTTTACACTGATCATGCCCCAATAGAAGAGGGTGATTCTGTGGAAATAATGATTTTAGCTGACAGATTCTGTCTGCCAAGGCTGGTGACTTTATGTGAGCTTTACATCCCTAAAAAAGTGGATGTCACAATACAAAAGAGGGTAGCTGATGGCACAAGTGATGTCATAAACCTCCTACTTACATCTCAGGTAAGATCAACTTTTCTTTACTTAAAACATTTATTTTAGAAGATAGGCTTATAAGTGGCTTGCTCTACTTTACGGACATGCTCCCCTGATACTTGCCAGATGAAGAAGCTACTTAAGGCTATTTGCTCTTCAACTGGACTTGCTGAAATGCCCTTGATATTTATTTACCATTACAGCAACCCCTTCATATATGAACCCCTCATTATTGTTATCAATGTTATGGTTCTGCAAAGTTTGATGTCCATTTCAGAGAAATTTTAAAAACAAGTCTACATTCACCCTTGGAATTGGTGTGTGTGTGTGTGTTGGGAGGGGGCGGGGGTGGCTAGTCCATAACGAATTATCCTTTCAAGGGAACTGTAACTGTCACTCCAGTTTAAGACTTATGACAACCTCTCCAGTGCAATGCCATACAAAACCAAAATTACCCAACCCTTAATTCAGGTTTGGTTGATACCTGTAGAAGCATAATATTACCTAAAGACATTACAACTACCAGTCAGAATTCTTCATTTTGTTGTTTTCTTGACGGACAAATTTGGGCTAGTGCTTTTCAAACCTCATAGGGATTGACAGATTTAAATAAGAAAGCAAGAACAAAATAATTCTGGTAGCATTGAATATGCTTCGTACCAAGCCAGTATTATTAGGGATTTGAATTGATATCTCAACACCATGCAATCATTTGAAACAACTGAATGATTTTTGACAATGAGGCCTTTTTAATCTTGCTCCCTCAGGATCTCTTGCAACAATTCCTATAATTTCACAAATTCTAATATTCAGTTTGGCATTAGCCTTACTCTATTGCTGTTTCAGTACTTATTGAGCATTAGTGGCACAGCATTAATTTGAACTGACCTAAGTGTACATTGAGCATTTCAGTGTATACAAACTAAATGACTGTGATTTGTGTTTTTAGGCTCACAATGCAAAGCAGTTATCCAGATGGTGTCTCCATTTTATTGCAACAAATTTCTCAGTGTTTGAGTCAACTGAAGAATTTGATCTTGTACAAGGAGATAACAGAGACTATGTCACTGAACATATTTGGCCGCCGTTATCCTATCTTAAAGCACAAGAAGAATTTGAGAAGAAAGTCAAGTCTTCTAAGTTTAATTCGTCTAATTTCAACTCTTGTAAGTGCAATATAATGTGAAATGATTAGACACAAGTTGATTAAGTTTATAGTACACTTCCTTGTGAAGGGATTTTATGATTCACATTAATTTTCAAAAACAATACTGTTTCTGTAAATAGCCATACATTTTTACACTTTCAATCCAGGTCATCTGTACGATCCATAGCAACAGACAACAGGAAACAGTTTCCGTGGACTAAGTACAGTCGTAAATAACAAAACTAGACCGTTATTTTTGGAATTTAAAGATAGTAAATTATAGCATAACATAGCCCCTTTAAGAATTAATGAAAATATTTTGTGGAGGAACTCCTATCATGTTGCTATTCAAATGAAACCTCTTTGGTTGACATTTTGCTTAGTACTATTTATTTCTTAAAATTTTACAAAAAGAAAAAAAACTGAATTTTTTTTGTGAATCTCACACTGGCTACCATACTCAGTCACTGAAAAAGGAAAATGGAGTAGTTCTATGTAAGCAGCAAATTTGGGGAACTTAAGCAACCAACAGCAATGGCAACAAAAACATCAGAAAAGCAATGTAATATTTCAGGAAATTAAACTCATCAGTTTTTAAAGAAATGTATTTTTTTACCTGTCAAATTTTAATTGAAAATTAATTAAACAGTCTTAAAAGTTTTTATGACTTACACTTTCCTTTTCAATAAATTAAATACTGAATGGAATGCCAATTTCTTGAGGCTTCAGTTTCTCAAGCCTCCCAATACATAGATTTAGCCAGGGCTAAAAGCGAAGCTCTGGTTAATAATACCTGTAAACAAAAAAAAATTAAATTGTGTAATGCTAAACCGAGACGAGAATGAAAATGGCTTCAAGACTAATAGATCTAATTAGCAAATAAACAAATTGCACATGCAGCACACTTTTTCTTCTAATTAGCAAAAAACAAATTTGCACGTGCAGCATGCTTTTTTGTCTTTCTCTTGCCGTTGCTTTGCACGACTACAACGCTGTTTTGAACGACTTAAACGTCAAACTTCTTAGTTACACATTATTTTTATGGAGGAATTGTCGTATGTGCTTACCCAATATTTTGTTTCCTGTGTTCATGTTTGCTTTTATTTTTCACTACCGCTCATTTTTACCTTACTGGCCGTTAGCATTTCTCATTTTCTCACCGCCGCCTTGAATTTCCATGTTTTTCTTCCAACGAATTCGTCTCCTTTGTTTTCAATAACTCACTCTAGCTCTTCTCTGTTATCCACGTTAGTGTAAACATAAAAAATAACGCCGAAAAGGACACGACTTTGTTGTTGTTTTTTCTTTCTAAAAGTCCAGGCGGCCATGTGATTTCCTTGCAAACAAGAACGCTCTTAGTAGCGTTGAGTCTCGCTTGTTTGGAGATGAGTTTTAATGTCAAAGGCCCCGGTGCCGTTACTACTTTTTCGTTTGGAATACAAAACGAGTGTTGTATGTCATAATGTATACACTCAAAAAGTAAAAATTGCAAGGAGAGACAGGCTGCACATCTTAGCCTCAAACCGGTGTGAAACCTTTGAAAACCTTCTACATATTGATATTGTTCCATTGAGGAGTACTCTTTCAGGGATTCTACACTCGAAAAATCGAACGATGATTTTTATCNTAGATAAAATCTTCAACCAACTGATCAGTTTCCTGAAGAATGATACCCTATTCTAGACCCAAACGCTCTGATTTATATACCCTATCCTAGAATAAACTGCTTGAAAACCATACCCTTCACAGCGGCACATACCTATATAGCCCATATATGGCAGTACCCCCCCCCCCCAGGATAAATCATCCAATCAGCTTCTTGTTTAAAAAACCAATCACTAGCTGATTCTGGATGCTACATGAAAAGCACAGACTAAAGTTTAGTTTATGACACTAGCTCTCTTGGTGAGCCCTGTTAACAGCTATACCTAAGCAACTGGGTCCAATATTTTGGTTGCAAAATCGGTCTCGCAGTCATCGCTAAGCAGAGTGTTATGTTATCCTTAGAACTTAACCATGACACTCAATCTGTTACCAAATAGATCAGTGTCATTTTGCATACACCGCGGAGAGTCTGGTTCCGTACTACTTAAAATTATGTGGTCTTTTGACTCAAACAAGCATATTCTCACCCAGCTACCGATTGCAGATTAATGGAAGGAAAGCTTTCCATAGGACTTTTTTCGATATCCTTCAATGACAACTCAATCCTAAAAAATTTCTATCGCAAGAAATTTCACTCTTCAAAGCTTTTCAAAGATTTACCGTCAACTTGAAAGGAAATTCCACATGATCACCACTGATTATAGAACCCACTCGACCTGTAGTCTGCAATCATATCATTCTGATTTAATACCGCGTAACTGAGCCAATAAACTAAACGTTACTGATCATTTTCACTCCTTCTTAGCCACGAAAGTTGATCTAAATCCTGTCAGCATAGAATCTGAGGACTTGTATCCTTCATTATAACCCTTATGGGGTGCAGGGAGGCTATCGTTGTCGACAAAAGTACTTTTGATTTTCCTATTTTTCTCCTATTTTTTAATGCAAAGTTTCCTATTTTTCCTATTTTCTCAATCCTGAGTTTCCTATTTTCCTATTTTTTTGAGCAACCAAGCTGCTGGACACCTAGTCTCCTTCGCAGCCGTTATTAGGGTCGTCACTCGTTACGCAACGCTCCTCCCCACTGTTAAGGGCAGGAGGAGGAGCGTTGCGTGATGAGTGACGACCCTAATAACGGCTGCGAAGGAGACTAGTGGACACCCTGTCAGTCTCAAACAAGCATCAGGTCTGATAGGGGGGTCCAGACCCTCTGGACCCCTCTGCTGGATCTGGCACTGATAAAGACAAGCTTTATATGTGAAAGTCATTACTGTAATTATATAGATTGATATACACCTGTAATCTATGAAATGCAACATCTTATTAAACATGCTAATGGTTACAAGCGAAATAGTGCTTATAAGAGTTCTGACAAAATTTGTTAGCACTCCCGTAATTAAGCACACCAGTTATCAGAGGTTATGTTGTGAATTAGTTGGTCTGTGGAACTGCAAGTTTCCTGAAGATGTAATAAACTGCACATTGACAATTAAATTGGTCATTCCTTTTACAGATCAAGATTGGGGACACATCCCTCCAAAGTTTCTTAGCCTTACTGGAGTATCTTTACACTGATCATGCCCCGATAGAAGAGGGTAATTCTGTAGAAATAATGGTTTTAGCGGACAGATTCTGTCTGCCAAGGTTGGTGACTTTATGTGAGCTTTACATCACTAAAAAAGTGGATGCCACAATGCAAAAGAGGGTGGCTGATGGCGCAAGTGATGTCATAAACCTCCTACTTACATCTCAGGTAAGATCAACTTGCCTTTAGCATAGCTCTAGGAGGACGACGAGTAAAGGTTGTGCACTAGATCTAACGGCGCAAGACTTGGCCTTGGGCGACTGAAAATATTGTCTAGGTGGCCCAGCCGGGCGACTTGCTGGTGTTGGTTTCTTGTTTCTGTTGATTTACAGTCAAACAGCTAAGAATGTCTAGAATTTATTACTTGCGAAATCGTAGCTCGCTTGGTGGCTTCACGGCTTAAAAAGAACGCTCCGCTCGCTACGAAACTCTTGAGGTCGACTTGTTAGTAGCAATAAGTAGCATGTCTATCAAAAAGCTTTGAGAAAATGTTGTTAAATCGGGCAGCAGGCACGCGTTGTATTGATGTTCGAAGGTTTCACCCACATGTAACATAATCCTTGACTATGAACGTGACAAGCTGCACAGTTTTCGATAGTAACAGCTTTTCATAATAACGTTGAAATTTTTTCCTTCAAATTAGGATGGTTCATTAGTTAGTTTTTCTAAACAAATTGTTACTTTTGCTCTGACAGGCGTAAAGTACGGTCGGCGACGCAAAACAATAGTTTTGTATTTTGAAAAATCGCTGAATAAACACGGGAGTCGGTCTTTTCTGTTAGTTAAATATTTTTACCTTTTTTTTACTGCTGTGTCTGCGAGGCTAAAACATAACTAAGATTATTATTCCTGAAAATACGATGTATAAAAAAAAAGAAAAGAGACGACTATTATTGTGATTGTTTTAGAATCAAGTACAAAGGGGGTATAAATCTATAAAGTCCTGCATTGTCTTTCGTGTCGTGACAAGGCATTACGTATCACGTACTAAAAATAAATACGGGAAAGCTAACCGAATCCACATTTGTCCTGAACATTTCACCGATAATATAGAAAGAAAATACCTCCGTTTATGCGCTTAAACGACGAGTTTACAACAAGATGATCTATTCAAAAGAGTTAATAGTTTTGGGGCGGCCCGGGTGGGGAAGTTGGAGGGGGGGGCAGTTCCTTATAAGAGGCTCATGGGGAGATATGCCCCTGGATGGGGTCGCATTTTCACGACTGGATTGACTATAATGGGGTTGCATTTTCAAAAGAGTTACTAGAATGGGGCCGCACATTTTCGGATTTTTGGGGTAAGAGAGTTGTTCATATTTACGGTTAGCAAACGTACCAGGATATTTGTACTGTAGGTGAAATGTAAAGTGTTCTTCATTCAATTTATTAAAAATGGGTCAGTTCATTTTTTGATGACCTATTTAGAGGATTGATCAGGTAGATAAATAAATAGAAAGTGACTAAATTGGGATCGCAAAAATTACATATTTGTCCAAGAGTGACTAATATGGGGTCTAGGGGCTCTGAGAGGCCAGCGGCACATACCCAGCAAAAATTACCCCACGTAACCCCCCGAGGGGCACCACGGTTTTGTTGAAATCATAACAGTTTTCCTGGAAAGCTCCACGGGATCTCAGTCAATCTTAATAAGCAAATTTTCTTTTCGACCTAAATCAAAATGATTAGTAAAAAGAATANCCCGGGTGGGGAAGTTGGAGGGGGGGGCAGTTCCTTATAAGAGGCTCATGGGGAGATATGCCCCTGGATGGGGTCGCATTTTCACGACTGGATTGACTATAATGGGGTTGCATTTTCAAAAGAGTTACTAGAATGGGGCCGCACATTTTCG